GCCATTTTGGTCTCTGCGTGACGGAAACGTGTGCAATCTATGAATGTACTGAAGGATTAAATGAGGTATTAAACACCTTTCACTTTAAAAAGGGGCGGAGACCCGGAGGAAACTCTGAGTTTCCCGAATAAAACCTGCTCCCGACCAGGTTAGGTTCACAGAGTAAGTTGCCGTAGTAACTGACTCTGAGTTTAGATTACCTCTCTTTGTGAAACGGGTTTAACTTACCCCGTTTTCACGGGTTTAAGTTACCTCCGTTTCTGAAACCGAAAACTCCGAGTTTCCCTCATTTCGGGGTTAACAAACTCTGAGTTTCGACAAAACCGCCTTCTTGAAATAGGCCCCTGACAAACCCAAAGATATACGTATACACTCACGTATCACCACCGCAGTTTGCATGTCATCTCTGTCATGTCGAGTCTGTCATGTGGTCACTGCCTCCTTCAACCAATCGGGAGCCCAGTTACTCCTCCCAGCTGTTTCCTTCACTTTAGCCGTTGTCACTTAAATGTCACTGAACAGCTGAAATGTCATCTTCTCTGCCTAAGAACCAACCAGCATAAGGCTGACGTATTTTTGCTGTTAGTGGTATCGATGCGTAGTATCCTACTACTTATCGTACTAGTGGGCGTAGTATCGTACTACTTATCGTACTAGTGGGCGGTATTGAACTGGATACAGGTGTCAGTGCGTCCACACTCTTACATGCAACAGTTCACTGTTAATGCAGACTGAGCACCACAAGTTATTATTGACAGGTGCACTATATCAGCTGACCAGAGGCCTTGATGGCATCATTTACTCTGAAAGCCATGTTGACCTTGTCTTCCAAACCGGCAGTAGAGCTGGGGTTGGTGTATCTGTCATTTAGGAATGGATTCCAACGGTAACAGCACAAGTAGAAAGTGATCAGTCTGATTTTGTGTGGAGAAATGCACAAAACTGTGTACACGCACAGTTGACAAATTAGGCTTTGGGACTTTTAGATGCAACCCAGACCGAGTGGGTGACCCTCTGCCGACGTGGACGATGTGCATCTTAACCGAGGCACATGAGAAAGTGGAGATCCATATTTATCAAGTGTCTCAAAGCAGGTAATCGTCCAGGGAGGGACATTTTTTTGGTCCTACTTTTTGGACCAGCAGTAAAATAATTTTTTCAGATAGTTTATGGAATTACTTATGGAAGACGGAGGACTTGTTTGGGTGGAGTGGAGAACATGTCATACTGCAGAAATCAGTGTCCTCACCATGACTCACTTTATTGTAACAGGGACAATTCAGCTTTTGTCAGAATCCACAACTTCAGCCCCAAATCAAATGTTGACTGCTCCTGCAGCACCCGAGGCAACGTGCATGACAAGTGAATTAAATCTCGTATAAACACAGCTGCGTCCCTCTGGCTGGGTGTCTCCAACAGGTTTTGTCTGTACTTCATATCATAGTGGAGGTTCTACTACTGAAGAGGTATTTTGTTGTTTTACCATTGAACAGAAGAAGAAGAGACGCTCCAAGTGCTGCACACAGCCAGTGGGTTTTTAGCGTCATATCTAAGATTTCAGCCACAGTTTAAATGACCCAGAGTGTTCTGCTGGACGGACACGTTTACTGTTAGCCAGCTAATGCAGTGTGTAGTTTGTCACAATCTGGCATCCAAATTTTATGTCTTTGCTAGGAAACAGGATGTGATGGGAGGGGCGAAGTGTTGTGGTGTCGGTTAGTTTGGTCTCACTAGACCCTCTAGGCTGAAAAGACATTAAGTAGAGTGGTTTTAACCACCGTCTAATTAGTTTCAAACTGCAACATCGGGACATCATAAACTCTGTTTTTCAGCTCTGAGTGTCGTAAACTGGTGACAGCATGCTCTCCCAGAAGCCGGTGTAGGAAGCTGCATCTGATATGAGGGAGTTTATAAATATGAGCCCTCCTGTTTGCCGTAAAGACAGCCTTCTGTCTCCTGCTGGTCCATAAACCTTCAAGTCAAAACTTTAAGTGCTTTCTCTGCGCAGCTTCACTGGTCATGCTAATGGCCTCGATGGTGTCTAGTGTGTGTGTTTTTTGTTTGGATGTGTGTTTCACCTCCCTGCTGAAATACTTAGTGGATTGGGGTTTTTTCTCCATTCAATGCCAAATCACAAAAAGCTTTTCTTATTGTTGCTTATGTTGATGAGTAGATTCAGCCTCAGTTCCTTAGAGTAATACCATGTGGTCATCCCACTTAGTGAACTCCTCATAGTGCCATGAGTTATGAGTGTGTGACCCACCAGTGGGAATAGAAGCTGCTCACGCCAGGGTTAGAATCTGTCTTGGTTTTTTCTCCTCATTGATCTCCGTGGTTTAAAAGTGAGCTGAGTGAACAAACCACAGACTAGAGGATGTCCTGCCACACTGACGACTGCTGGGCTTAATGGCTCGGTTTTGAAAAGAACACATCATCTATGCTGCCATAGTGTGACGGCCGAAGTTAGAGGCTGCTTCGATTTCCTTAAATAAAACCAGTTGATCTTTGGTCGGTCCCAGAGTCCAAGGACCACAAGAGAACTGGGTTATTCTGCCTCCAATGATCCTCCGTGATTCATGTTCACTGAAACTGACAAAGTGAAGTTGACACGTCAGCCAAAAGTTCTTTGTTGGCGTTTGAGCAACAAATAAGATGTGAACATTTTGAATCCGAGTTGATGCTTAGTCAAATTTTAGTCTTTTGTTTTTGTAGTTAGTCAAGGAAAGCTAAACGGTTTGAGTCTCCATTTACCATAACTACATATGATTTCTATGGCGAACTTGGTGGAAAATGCTTATCATTTAGTTTTTAATCAACAAAACATATCTTGGCTCTCATTATCAAATTTTCCTTCTAGTTACCTCCAACGGGGTTGTGTTTTTGGTTCTGAGTGTGTTGGTTAGCAGGATTACAGACAGACAGCTGGGTGGATCATCAGCCTACTTGGTACAGACATCGGTGGGGGCCGACCGAAAAAGGTCAAAGGTCACAAAAGATAAAAAAAACACATGAAAATTTTTCTCTTAAACATGGAGCTAAAATAGAATAAAGTGTCATATCTCCGTCAGAAGTTATCAAAATCATTCTTGTTTGACATTTGACACGTGTAGGGTGGCAGCGTCTGTCACCAGACCGAATTTCATCTGGATCTGACCTCCATTTAAAGTTAACACTGAAAACCCCATTGAACGCCTACTTTCTGCCATAGTAAAGAGAGTAACAACAACAAAGTAAAGAGAGAAAAGGGAAAATTAAAAAATGAATAGATGAAGAAAAAAGTGGTTTAAAGCAGCAAATGAATCAGAACAGGGAGGGGGCTGTAGATCTGCCCTGGAGCAAGCTGAGGGAAGGCCACCACCAGGGGGCAGGCTGGGGTCAGCAGGGCAGCCATAGAGCTGCTTTATGGTTATAAAGTTGGACCACTCCTCTGTTTTCTCCTTTGTCATGGTTTAATTTGACTGTTGAAAGCAGTTGGCACCAGATGAATGCAGCCATTTTAAGGAAAAACTCCTGCTGTCTTTTTGTTCTTCGGTGTAAAGTGCACTTACACTTGTCCTGATGTGTCGTGTGTGATAAACAGCAGAAGTCGGAAAAGTTCATGTGGGCATCGTGCGTGTTTGTGTGCGTGTCTGCTGAGGTAATTGTGTGTGTGTGTGTGTGTGTGTGTGTTGGTGTACATGTGTAGACCAGGAAGCAGGGAATTAGAGGCACAATTAGCTCTTTAAAAGGCTTTT